GGCTGCAATGAATTTTTACTGATCTTAAGGTAGAAGAAGAGTTATTCYGGCGTTAGTAGCAGGGTTTCTGTCATCGGAGAAAACCTTAAAGCGCCTCTGAGAAAGATTGCTGCCCATGACATTTGCAGAAAATGCTCTAAGTGTCTAACATCAGTGTGATTCATGTTATGATGGCAGCCTTTTTCTATACTGGTATGACACGATGCTGCTTACAGCTGGATTTCTACATATATTAATATACTCATTATTTTTTTAATCATCTAACTCATCCTAATTTCTCTCTTTCTCTCCCTGCTTCCTTTCCTCTCTCCCACAGACCTGGTCCATCTCTSTGTCATGGATAGGAAGCTCCAATCTCAGTATCCAGTGGTCTACTTTTTAGCCCTGCACGTCAGATGCACACTCTCTGAAGACCCAATATAGCAAAGTTATTTTTCTATGAGAAGACTAGGTACCTTTTTTTCTTAAAAAAAAAAAAAAAAAAAAGGGAGGAAAGAGGAAAGAGAGACGGAGAAAGAGGAAAAAGGTTTCCCATAGTGACCAATTTCTCTTAATCTGTGACTATCAACCCTACTACCAAGTCATCTTGCTGAATATTGTCAAAATACTTCCAGCTGATATCCCGTTGAATTGTGAAGTTGTTTGTCAAAATCTTAATCCTATTTCCCAATATAAAAGGTTCCATGCCTTATCCTTTATATATTTGGTTATCTAGTTCTTTTGCACTTTGATGTTTTGTATAGCGTCATCTTCATTGTCATAATATCCTATCGCGCCTGGTAAAAAACTGTTCCCGCTGAGGAGAGTTGGCATTTCATGTGATTCTTTTCTTTTTTATCTCACAAACAGATCACGTAAGATGCAGGTTTSTTATGAAATCTTTTCTTGTCTCATTTGCTTTTCTTGACAAGGTGACAAAAAGATGTTCAGCACTCTGCTCTTCCTTCCTCCACAGCATCCAAAGCTTTGTGGAGCAACATAAAATGCATTGATTTCAGGAAGGATGATCTAAGTGATCAATATTATATATCAGGATTGGCATCTGACATGTTGCTCAATAGGTCTTTAGCTAAGGGTTTGAACAGGCACAGACTTTTCCTCATAAAACATCAGAATCTTGCTCAGAAAGAGAAGAGGAAATGATTTCACCTACAAATTATTATGAATTAATGTCATATTAAGTCCCAAATCTTTTGAGAGAAACATCCTTCTTAGTGTGTCTAACTTTTGATCATAGCTTCAAAATGGTCATTATTTTAGATTATTAATAATTATATTTAAATTATAAACAGCTATATTTTTCTTTTGTTTATTCTCTGTAACATGAATGCTAGAGAGCTTTCAAAAACATTTATTAATGAATTTTTAAAAAACATTTAGCAGTAGCAACTTTTGTAGTAATTTGTTCACTGTATATACTTGATGATCTTTGATAAAGGTCTTGATAAAGACTTGATAAAGGCCTTTTCCAACCATTACGATTCTATGAGCTTATAGTGGGTGGAGTCACCAACCCTGGCAGTGTTCAAGAAACATGGGGGTGAGACTCTTACAGACATACTTTAGAAGGCATGATGGTGATGGATTTACAGTTGGATTTTGTGAGCTTAGAGATCTTCTCCAAACATAATGATTCTGTGATTCTATTTTAGATGCTTTAAAGACAAACTAAACATTGYTAATTTACCTTGATGCACTTTCTTTTCTTGATAGTTCAGAAAAGCAATAGGTTCCACAATATTCAAGCAATAGTATTATGAATATAAATATTGAAATATAAATATCACAAAAATAGGATAGAAATGATCAATTTGTTACTAGGCAGTTAGATTAATGAATTATACTGACTTCTTTAAGATGATTGTTACAATCTTACCTAACAAACATAACACACTGTCATAATATCAGCAACTTCAATGAGCTACCCTCTTTGGAGACAAAATAATTTTGTATACTAGGTTTAAAAGAGTTTATTACTCACATCCAACTGAAGTATAACTGAATATGAAATCAGTCAAAGGAAGGAAGAACGAAAGTCAATAYGTTTTGACCAGGGGCAAGTATTTCTCCTACCTTCCATCCTTTGCCTGGTTTTATAGGTTATACGTTAATGTAGCCAACAACGTAGTTCTGTTATTACCCTTCCTGTTCTGCCCATACAGTGGAAGGAATTAGTGAGCTGCTTACTTTGGCARAGGAAATGCTAGAGAATTAGTAGGTGTTCCTTAGGGAAAGAGTTGAGTCTGAGAAGAGAACAAAATGTATTCTTTCCCTTCTCCTCTTAAGAGCTGGCAGATGGGAAGGTGTTTATTATCTCTCGCTATAGAGGCCAGGTTGTTATTAAAATGAGTAATTAAAATGGTCATCCYACTGATACATGTCACGAAGTGTTTGCACCTCACAGTGAGGATGACAGGGTGCCATGCGGCCACTAAGAACTCTGTGTGAGCTCTCTAACAGTCATGAGGAAGAAAGGTCTAATAATTGTAAGTACTTCAAGAAGTCTGTTTCAAGGAGTCCTTATTTTCCATAGAGAATCTTTTCTCATGATTGCTGCTCTCTCCTGTAATGATTCTAACTGGGAAGCAGAGGAAATCTTTCTAAGCTTATGCATACTAGAAAGAAATTTATCATTTATCATGTTTCTTCCTTATTTATGAAGGTTAATAACAGCACTCTGCAAAGCTTGCTACATATTTTTATGTCCTGCCCTGCAAAAACCCTGCAGTTTCATCTTTTCTATGCAGTTCTTTGCAGTGGCAGGTAATGACAAAAGATTGTATCCACAATATGTTGCAGAGACTATTTTGGTGACTATAATACTGATGGATGTGTGTGAAGTTCCACAACTTTTTCTAAAGAAAAAAARAACTTGAGACTTTAGAGTTTGGGATAAAGAATAATGGGCAGTAGCAGGCTTGGGATTTTATGGAATATGCACAAAGAAGGAGCTGTTGTGCACACTCGGGAGGAAAGGGATGTGTAAGAAGGCGGCAGCTGCCAGCGCTTACTGACGTTGTCTGGAGAGTCAGGTACAAAACATGTGCAAGCAGCTAAAGGAAGGGGCCAGAAAGAAAAGCCTCCTGGTTTGAGTGATAGCTGTCTCAGAAATAAACTGTGAAAATATTCTGGATTAAGAAGTGTGATGGGCAAGTGAAAAAGCTTCAAACTTAATTTAACTGCTTCARGTAATTGCTTTTCTCCTCTCTTTCTTCCACTTCCCTCCCCATCCCCGCACACAAAGGCTAAAGGCAGAATTACATCTGCAACAGCTAATCCTGTAGCAGGTACTTGTGCTTAATAGATTGTTCTATTTGTTCATTTGTTCAAAATATGGTGCTGGATATGTCAATATGCCCCCTTCTATTCCAAATTCCATCAGGAGAAGGACATCATAATATCAATGCAGTGTTTGCTAAAAATGTTGTAGAATTGCTACCATCTCTATCTGCTGCTTTTAAATTACAAAAACATATGCAAGATTTATCACCTTCTGATATTTTTACTAATAAAACACTAAAAATGAGTATTTCTCCAAGGTGGTTGCTGACAAGACATCAAAGTTTATCCAGGTGCTTAAGTCCTATTTAGGTACATGCTTAGATAAGATGACTTTGAAAAAAGACAAAACAAATTCAGCAAACAAAATTAGGTTACATTCATCAGGGACATTGTGCATTTTCAAGGTAAAGAAATGTTTTTATGTGCTTACTCAGCCATAAGAAGTGGCAGTTAATATTTGTAATAAGACTCCATTTCATTATATAAAGCTGTTCTTTTGTTCAGAATTTAGCTACTTAACTTCGAACTACTTAATTTCCTTTGAAAACTTTGGGAAAAGTTTTGTGGAGAAGGAAGAAAACAATTTTACATATATCTTGACTTGCAACAGAATTTGATAGTATAAGAAACATAAGGGAAATACTGTGAAGTCGGTAGGCAACTAGCTGAAAAGTCAGACTCAGGGTAGCTTTCTGTTTTGAAAGGATGAGTAGAGGAAAACTTCCCAAGGTCAGGGTTATTTATTTTTTTTTCCATTAAGGATTTGGATAGTGGAATAAACAATGCCCATGTTAAATTTGCGGGCAAAACCAGACAATGACAGGGCGGCTACCAGCACTTGGGAGGATTAAAATCTGAAATGTTGACTTATTGGAGCAGTGGTGTGAGATAGACAGGGTGTAGCTCAGCCAGAATAGGTGTGAAATCCTACAAATGAGGAAAATCTGCTCTCTGCGTATAAGATAGGGAATGCAGGAAAAGTAGTTCTAAAGAAGACCTGCAGCTTTTAGAGGAYAAGAAAATAAGCAAGCTACAATAGTACCCTGCCTTATGATAAAAATATAAAAAGCTTTAGCTGATTCAAGGAAGATTTYTCTTATAATGCAGAAAAAAAATCCGAATTCTGATATAAAATGGCTGTCAATGGGGATTTTTTGGGTGTGCATTGACAAATAAAATCCAGGAGTGATTTAAAGGCTTATTAACTATTTCTATTTTCTGTGGTTCTTAGTAAAACTTTTATTTCTCTTTAAATGCTGTTCATATCATTGAACATGCTTTCTCTGTTTATAGCCAAACACAGGAGAAATTGAATTGCAGTGTTTATAGAATATATCTGGAACAAATGTTCTGTAGTTATTTTAAAGATAACAAATAAAATACTTTGGCTGTTTTGACATTTCAGGTATTTTGAAATTTTGTGTGTGTGTGTATATATATATATATATATATATACATGAGTATAAAGATGAAAAAAAATTATGAGAGGTAAAACTATATACTACATATTAAAAAACAAGGAAGAAAGAAAGAAAGAAAAGAAAAAGATGTCTCTAGGTAGTTGGTCCCATGGTTGTTGTGCCTGTGAAAATTGTATACAATTGTCAAGAATATCAATATGGAACAGGTGAGTAAGGAGAGCTGCAGTTAGACCCATAGATAATTTTTAATGGAATCAAAAGAACTAGTTGACATGAAAAGCCTTTAGCAGAACTTACCTCTGAACCCTGGTGTTCCAGTCGCAGGAAAGCTCTTAAGGCAGAAATTATTTCAGTCCCTATTGTTTGAGCTGAAGGTTGCTTTCTGGAGTGAATAGATGTTGCATTAGTATTAAAAGCCAAGGCATTACAAAAAGAAATTCTATGTAGCTAGGCTATGACTGCTGAGAACAATTCCTGATATTTACAGTCTTTCCCTTCAGTAATTTCAAGCTAATCATTTTCTTTGTTGCTGACATGTACTTTGGTCCTGATGCTAAAACAAACAAGCAAACAAAAAAAACCCCAGCAGCATAGTTTTACTTTTTCACCTTATGATCACAATGAATAAGGCTGAAGGAATTTGCACATTGTTTTAAATAAGGATTAGGTTGGGTGTGCAGTGGTCCCACTGTCCCTGTGTAAACATGTGAGACGTGGGTGAAGTTAAGTGGCAGGCAGTGTGCTCGGCAGTGTCACAGCTAAGATCGGTCATTACTGCGGTCATACAGTGAAAGGAAAATGGAGATTGCTGATACAATTCTTTCTAGATTAGATTTCAAGGTTTAGACAGATGTGAAAAGGATGCAATAGTAGACTAATAGAAAAAAATCAGAAACATTTATAAAATGCTTTTCTCTGTTCTACTTTGTTCTGTTTGTCTCAGATGCAAAGTGACCCAACTACTGCCTTTTTGCTGCAAAAAATAAAAGGCTATTTAGAGTCATTGACTTAGCACCAAATACTTAGCAAATTTACCAAACAGACTACTTGCAATAAAATATGCATGTAAACATATGTCCCACTCTTGGCCAAGACAAGAAGTAGTTAATGGACAACTTTGGGAATAGGAAAAACGAGCGTCCTTTTTCCTGTACATACTGCCCAGTGCTCATGTTCAAAAGGGAAGGCATTACTGCGTTGGCTAATTAGGAGCAGGAAATAAAATAAGGAAGCTAGTCAAATTTGTGTTTGCACAGGAGCRAGCTACAAGACTTCTTTAACTAATGTTGAAAGAAATAATTGTTACTCTATTTAGCTGTGATGTTTAGGTTTGTCAAGAGAGGTAATTTGGTCATAAAGAGTAATGATTTAGGAAAAAGAAGAAAAGAACCTCTAATCAGGTCTTGGAAAATAATGCATGTGTTCATTTGCCTTTGGAGGAATACATGGTCCTCATGATGCACATYGTGTCTTCTTCAAGTGAAACGTTGCACATAGTGCCATTTGTATTAATGCAGAAATATTTGGGAGATTCATGTCTTTGCTAGGCAGGAGAAGATGAGAATTTGCATTCTATTTACTACCTTGTAGYACTTGTACTACCCACAATCTGTACAGAAGCTTGTATTTCATTCCATTACATATAAGCTTTAAGAAATACGTTTAAATCTTAGTACTTTTCTTAAATAATATGGCATAGTAAAATTAAATTTCTTATTCCTTGACTGCTTCTGGGGTATACTACATTCTCATGAGATTATCAGCAGCAGAGGGAAGATTGTCTGTCAAGTATCAATGTCTATGTCTTGCAGAAATGTTTGAATGTAGAGAATCCTTCACAGCTTTTTGCTATTATTTTTTCATATCATTCAATGTAATATGTAATTGAGAGCAGCTTGCCTCACATTGTGAAGTAAATTAATTCCAGCTAAGTATACTGAGCAAAGTGTGTCACAGCTCTATGATGCTATGGATGATGTAAGTCACAGTCACCTCTGATTGTAATTATATAAGCAGTTGCATAATAATATGTGTTAATATGATAGGAGAGGTGTTTGTGTCCAGCAATGGGACTAGGGAAGTTAAGGGAGCAAGTCGTTCCTGTTGAGTTGCTGGGCCTGTTTTCACACTGTTTCACAGCGATTCTGTCTTATTTGTCCAGAAAATTCCCATTCCACGAAGGTGGTGGAGTACTTTCTATTCTGAATTACCTAGCTAACTGCAGCTTAGTATTTCAGGTAGGACTGGTGAGGAGGGACACAGAAGCTCATGCCTTATAGAAAAATTCACTACAGCGASCTGTGGTCAGAACATCTTTTTCCTACAGAACTGGTTTCTTTTCATGACTTGGGACCTTCGCCATTAACTCCGTTAACTTTTGATTTTTCTACTAAAGACATTGTGTTAGTTAGAAAAGTGGAAGGGAACTAGTGCACAATTGTCGATGTCTTCAAGACTTCTACAGCAGTGAAGGTGCTTCCAAACACAGGCCTCATTTCTGTCATKCTTGTAGCCACAAAACATAGGCCCTTGAATATTTATGTGAAGTCTTGGGATTTGTTGTTTATGAAATGCTACTTTCTGTTATCCATCAGAAATGAATAGTTGTACGGAAGGTGAATGCTCAAATTTGTACCTTCAGCTTGTGAGCCTGCCAGGTTATGCTTTGTGCCAAGGAACTGGTTCCAAGTCTTGTGGTGCATGAATATTCTCCAATAGTAGCCTAAAACTCAATGTTTATCAATGTAAAACAGTCATCAGTGTATTTACATAAAAGCAGTATGGAGCAAGCACAGAATGAGCTGGTTTAAAATCACAAATCTGTATGTTTTGCAGTATTTGCCTAATGCTAATTCTGATTAGTGCTTCAAAATCAGAAGATAAAAGCCACTCTGTCACTTTGCATGGTTGTCTGCATCTATTTATTCTTTTTCCYTTTTTTTAGGTGAGCACAAACTCTTCTCTGATTAGAGCCCAACAGCACTTTTAGTAGAGTGTGCTATTGTGCTGGCAGGTATAAGCACAGCTGCATTTTTGCATGGTCCTAATAGCAACCGGTTTTCTTAGGCACACCATTCAAGATTAAGACTGGCACAGGAAAATGAGTTGTAGTCCTGACGTCCGCTGTGGATTTTCGCTCTCAAATTACCCATCTGTTGTGGCTTCTCAGGAGGGAAATCTCCAAGGAGCTGCTTGGCAATGCAAATTGACACAAAATCTTATTTTGCAGTTTTCAGTTGCTATTTTACTGAGTATTGTACATCACCAAAGAATTAAAAATAGTACTAACATATTATTTTATTATTTATTATGTTTGTTATTTTAAATACAAATTAAAATAATGAAGTGTAATTAGATATTTGGAAATATCTGCTTGTGTAAAAGTAAAGACTCCCTGAATATGATTTATCTTCTTGAATTCTCTTGGATATGTGTTATTTTTTTCAATATTTAAAGTCTTGAATAATCTACTTTCTCAGACTTCAGAGACATTATAGTGATCTTGTTGCACTTATGTACTAATTTACCAGGTAATTCAGATTTTGGCCTTTGCAAAATGTTTACAGAGGGGAAGGGCCTTGAAAGGTATYCGTAGAAAATGGTACATGATGAACAAATCCTGTTTTAAGAGAACAGTGATACAGAATCTTCCTTGAGTTTAAAGCCTGCACAAAAACATTACTTCTGACTTGTAAAAGGCTCTCTTTTATGAAATACATTTCTCTAAATTAAGTATTATTTTTCAGTGTGCTGCAAGTATAGTATAGTAGCAGCCATTCAAGGTTAGAGTAAAACTTTCTAAAATAAAAATATCAAAAGGCATAAGATAGAATTTATTCTGAGCTGYGGTAGAAGTTTCAATTAATTCTTGCCATGAAAGAGAAGAAATAACTCCCAAAGTCAATGATCCTTTATTTCTCCAATATTTTCATAGTGCTCTATTTTTGAGTTATTTATACATTCCAACATTAAGATTAACACAGTGATTTCAAGGAGAGCTAAAATTTGTCAAGTGAATATAGAGTAGGACAAAAAAGATGTGATAAGCTAACCTGACGTGAAGCAGTTCTGCAGATGTAGAGCTATTTTGCTGACCACATCTAGATTAAGAATGGGAAAAGGTCCATGAGATCTCAGACTGGAGGTCAATACATCTAGTCCAGTGCCTTTTCTCTTACAGTGACCAAAAGCAACTGTCTAGGAAGGAGTATTAAAACAAGAAAAAATATAKAAGATGCTTCCCAAAACTATTCTCCTAGCCTCCACTCATTTGCAGCTCAAGGACTTCCTGAGCCAGCTGTAGTTTCTCTTCATTTTGTAACACTCAGCGGATTTCTTTTCTGTGAACTTTGCCAACCTCCTCCSGAAAACCTATAACCTTTAAACTCTACAGTATCTTGGCTGTACACAGCACTACATAACTAAATTACTGTCTGTATAAAAAMCAACCTTCTTTCTTTCTTCTGGCCTGGCTTCCCCTGGCAGTTCTTTCTTGGCAGAGATGGTGACCAACCAACCTGCTCCATGACACTCTGGATTTTATATAACTGTCATATGTCCCTCAGTTGTTTCTTTTCCATTGTRAAGCCTACTTCATTTCGGCGTGGAAGTTGTTCCATGTCTTTTGTTGTCCTTGTGGTCTTCTTTTAAACTTTTCCTGCTCTACTGTAACCCAGTTAAGATAGGGAGACCAGGACTGCAGGCATTATTTGAGACAGAGAACTCTGCATTTTCACAGTGGCATAATTACATTTTTCACTTGATCCTGTTTTTCCTTCCCTGTGGTTCCTACATTCAGTTGGTTTTATAAACTCCTCAGCCTCTGTTGCTGTCCAGACTGCTGACACAGCTCATCTCTGTGGCTAAAATAAATCTCTTGGCTGCCGCCAGGGAATGAATCTCTTTTATGGAGCCTGGGTGGTTTTACCTTGGGACCTGTGTATTGTATTTCTTTTTTTGTATGCTGTGGGCCACGCTGCTGGAACAAGCAGGCTTTATGATTTCCTTCCGTTTTTAGGCAGGAGTTAAACAGCCTGAAGGGAGTCTTCAGAAGAATGGCARTAGCTTCAGATAGTATTAACTCTTTCATGGATTACTTCTAAGATTTGCAGAAGGTGCACCACTGGTCAGTGGAAATGATGGACTGGTTTCCTAATGAGTGCTGATGAGTTTCCTCATAAGTGCTTTTAATCAAAAACACAGTTGTACTTCTCCGTATTTCTACATGACCACTTAAAAAGTTGCTAATGTAGCATACTCAAACCAGATCTTTGGATATCTTTTTTTGGCTACAGTATGCCATTCTAATTGCATCTTTTTATGTATATATAGAAATTCCTTTTCTAGCAATAGTGAATTCGTTTCTTGGAAAGGTTT